CTTTGGAACAACATTGTATTCATCAAAAATTGCAAAACAATTAACTAATTTAGATCACCTGGGATGGACTAGCCACGACGCAATTCTTTTTCACCCATGTGTAACAATTGCTGAAACATGATATTTTTGGTAATCTTAAACGTTCAGCTGAAAAAAATTATGTTCTCTTTCGCATTAAATAATTTATTTTAAGAAAAATAGTGGTGTTTCCGTACCGATTCGTAGATTCATAGATGATAATGGCTAATTATACTGGTTATGTCATAGTGATAACATAATAATATTTAAAACTAAACTTGTGACCGGCGACTCAATGAATCGCCTGATGTAAGCTTTTGAAACTCATAGCCATTTCTAATAGATATTTCAATTCATAGCAATCAAAAGGAAATACGTTTTTTTTCTGTTGAAGGAAGGCTTTGTAAGTACATCTACCATTTTTATATAGCGTTTAAAACAAATGAGCAATATTGAGTTAGGGGCTGGTCCGCCTTTGGAAATCTCAATGAGATAATAGTCTTTCCATGGGCATCATCATATTAGCCCTGAACTGGTCAGTGTATTGTCGACATTTCCTTGTACCTACGAAAGTTAATTGAAAAATATTATCTCATTTTCGATAGTCTCACTTCTTCATGTTTGAATATTATTGTAAAGAATTTTGATATAACAGTCAGTTTCCATTACGACGAATCGCGAACAGTATATCGCGATTCGGACCAAAGTAGCGGTAGAGTAATGTTTGAGTTTGAACAGTCCACAATATAATAATTATACACAATTATTGTGACTGTGGAAGATTTTTAGCAAAAACGCTATGTCCTAGTCTCAAGAATCGGTCTCATCTTTGATCGCGGTTGCTGTCTCCATAGACTATTGAATCTTGTCAGCGTCGCGACGCGGAACCTCAGGGGCATTGCATATCTTAAAAAATGGCATTATGTCGTTTCGACATTATATAGTTTTTTTGTGACATTATTTAGGTTTTTCTACAAGATGTTAACTTAGTACTAGCTATCGTACAGGGTGGTCCACTAAGAATGCGAGTTACTGTATCTGAGAACATATTCATCAAAGAGGCGTGCGGCAAGTTATTATATAAAAGTTATTACTAAAAAGGTCAAAAGAAAAATCTGGAAAATATTTTCAAGTTTCTGAAATGGCCGCTAGGGGCCGTAACTGCAATCTTGAATCTAAAAAAGTGATGATTCTGTGAATTGCGCTATATTGATCTAACAAAAAATTCCTGTTCTTTAATTTCGAGGATAATCTGAACCTTTTTTGTTTGACAATTTTTGATGTGTCTCTAAAAAAAAGTGGTGGAGGGTATGCAAAAGTTTCCGTGTCTTCGAAACGACTAAGCCGATTTTAACAGACTTGCACTGGTTGAGCTACAAATGCTATATTTGAAGTTTTGTTAGTTTCACATGTGGCCGATAGAGGGCTTCTTTCCGACAGAAATGGTTGATTTTCTCAAAAAAGCATTGATATGATTTTTTATGGAGAATTAATTAAATGAGCTTGCGAAAACCGCTTATCGATATCTTGTCCTTAACCTAAAACTTAGGGCAAAAGAAAATTCCTCGAATTTTTATTTTTTTAACAAATTTTTCTGGAATTTCTTTTTATTATTAAGTTGTAACCTTAAAAAGCACTGATTTAATACAAGGTTTTTAATGCTGCCGGAAATGCTCGAAATGCTGTCCATCACGTTATATGCATTCCTGAAGCCTCTCAAGGGTACACAAAACTGCAGCTTCAATTTCGGCTCTCGGTATGTTACGTATTGGATTACGAATCCGGTTTTCCACAGCTTATCTGGTTGTAGGTTGAGTCTGCAAAACAATGTCTTCCTCTACCAAAAAGAACTTGTCTTTCAGGCATTGCTTTAAACAATATGGCCCAATAACTCTGCAGACCAATAATGCATATTGTGCAGATTGACTCTCCCAACACTATTAAAGGTGGCTTCATTGGTCTAAAGAATTTGAAATAAAAAGTCACTATTTTTGCGTATCATGCCTAACATCCAATGGAAATAGTATAACCTCCGATCTAAGTCTTCCTCTTTCAAGGCCTGATGCAAAACAACATGATATGGGTGCATTCTAAAGGTGATTAGAAAAAATCAATCCCTACATTTTGAGGGACACTATGGTGTTTCAAAATATTTTTTAACTCAAAGTAGTATATCCCAGTATGCGGTTAATATTTTCTTGTGTTCTTCCAATACTTTCCTGTTGAAACGTAGACCGAAAACTACCACTGACTAGTAAGCTCGCCACTATCGGGGAAAAACTCTCACATCTCAAAGACGCGGATTTGGATATTGAGTCGCGTAAACTCTTTTTGCTACTGCGGTGTCCTAAAGACATTCAAAATAAACTGAAAGCATATCAACAGCTTCATCGTTCGAAAAACGCATTTGGTAAACACAAAAATTGCTCAAAGTAATGTGAAACTATTGACAACTATTGACAATTTGAGGATTATTTATGTGATTAGTTATTTGTTTTGTTGTGTTCCATGGCCTTCTTCTATTAATTGTCTTTTTCGTATGTAGGTACCCATATTGAATATGCATTTCAGCAAAAAGTATGCCGTTTGTTATTAGCATTACTTACTTACCTTTCAGCGATATTTTGCAATATTTTCAAAAAGGGCAACTTTATTCTGATGAATAAAAAAATTATTTGAAAAAATAAAAATTTAAGGTATTTCAATAAGAAATTTTAATTCGCCTAAATTTTAGGTTAGGAACAAAATAGAGAGATGCCGTTTCGAAGATACAGGGTTTTTTACGCAAACCTTTGAATACACCCCATTACTTTATTTTTTTTATACTCCAGTTACCTAAGGCCTAAACACCCATGGAGTACCGTGGGGCTATAGGGGGTTACATGGGAAAAGAGAGGGACGCCACACGGACTCTAGCGAGGGAACACGTGTGCATGCGGCATGTATACATTCTGGCCCCGCCCAAGAGATCCGCCGGGTGGTACCAGAGACCGTCTACCACCTATGCCCAGGTTATTTTTAGAGATACGAGGGATGTCTTTCAAGTATTGCATGTAGAAACATAGTAGGCCGCGCGGATCGAACGTCAGTACTGAATCTTAACCTCACTCTTAAGTAAACTTAAATTCAAAGTTCCACAACAATACGTGCAGTGTTCTCACTACAGTGAATTTTTAAGTGTCACCAAGTCATTAGAAAAATGGAACTCAACCGAGAACATTTTCGCGCCATAATTTATAACAACTTTCAGAGACAATTATCGCAACAAGAATGCCTTGCTGAGTTACTGTCTGTTTTCGGCAACGAAGCGCCACATCAATCGACAAATTCGCGTTAGTATGGAGAATTCAAACGTGGACGGGTGAGTCTTAGCGACGATTCCAGGGTGGGTGCATCAAAAACGGCAGTCACCCAGGAAAATGTTGATGCTGGGCGCAAACTCATCATTGAAGATACACATGTGACATGTCGCGAGATTGAGGCGTCCTTGAAGATCTCAGAGATCTCAATTCAAAAAATTTTACATGAAGAATTAGGAGTAAGAAAATTAGTTTCTCGTTGGATACCTCACCTGTTGACTGAAGAGCAGAAAGCAGACAGGGTTAATTGGTGTCAAAAAACGCTTGAACGTTTCAATTCTGGAAACTCAAAAAATGTGTACAGCATTGTTAGTGGTGATGAATCGAGGATTTACTGTTACGAACCAGAAAGTAAACGAAGGTCGGCTGTTTGGGTGTTCCAAGGTAAGGAAAATCCAAAAAAAGTCATCGGTTCTCGAAGTGTTTCGAAAAAGATTGTCGCAACATTTGTGTCAAAAGCGGGTCATATTGCAACAATTCCTCTTGATGAGCAAAGAACTGATACTGCGGATTGGTATACCACCATTTATTTGCCAAAAGTCATCACCGAGCTTCGAAAAATCAACCCCGAAAGAAGAATCATCCTCCACCAAGACAATGCAAGCTCGCACACAGCCCAAAAAACAAGGAGGTATTTAAAGGAAGAAAACGTGGAATTATTGGACCATCCTCCATATAGTCCCGGTCTAAGTCCTAACCATTTCTTTACTTTCCCGAAAATTAAAAACAGACTGCGTGATCAAAGGTTCCAGTCACCAGAAGAAGCAGTTGACACATTCAAAAATGCCGTTTTGGATCTGCCAGCAAACGAGTGGAATAAGTGCTTCGAAAATTGGTTCGAGCGCGTGCAGATGTGTATTAATTTTCGTCAATTAAAGTCATTTAAAACTACCTACCGTGTTGTTTTATTTCCATATGCAAAACTTAAAAGACATCCCTCGTACAGCAAAAATTGTCAAACAAAAAAGTTCACCTTATCCTCGATTTTACAGATCAGGTATTTTTTTCTTAGGTTAAGATCACTTTTTTAGATTCAAGATTACAGTTACGCCTCCACCGGCCATTTCAGAAATTTGAAAATGTTCTCCAGATTTTTCTCTTGGAGGTTTCAGTAAGAAATTTTGTGCGATAAGACTCTACGATGGATAGGTTCTCAAATACACTACCTCGCATTCTTAGTTGGCCACCCTGTACACTTGATGTGTACTCGTTCCGTAGCTGTACGTGTTGCCTAAACATCAGAATGCTTCAGCTATCAACATTTGGCTCTGATGTTAAGTAAAATCTGCTTCAGAGATGACATTATTGTAGGTCTAAGCTGCAAGTAAGGTGCTTAGTGAGGATTTGTGTGCTAATAATTATTAGATTACAATCTGCCGTGTTGATGATAATTCCTTTGGTTTCTTGTCTCAAATACATGTACTTGAGATGTATCTAAAGCTAAAAATTATCGGAATGCACTTTTTCCACACTAGGAACTATTTAGGCAGCAAGTTGACATTTTGTCGTTTTTTATGTTTTATAGGTTTTTTAAGTAATAACCCTGCTGTAGTTCTCACAAATTAACAGAATTCCATTGAATACAGCGCTAACCTGATTGATGCCACTTTGCTTTATTTGCAGGTAAATCATCATGAGTAGCAGCACCAGCGAGCAGCAGTACTCCTCGTCTTTCAGCGAGACGAAGAGCTACTACACCACAAGTAAGAACTGGCCACCAGACAAGTATGGCGGCAGCGGAGACAGCGTCGCTGACTCGATTGAATCCTCTAGGGGATTCAAGCCGTCAGATGTCAACGATCCCCACAAGAGGGAGTTTTTGACCAGTCTGACGCAGAAGGTCTTCAAAGTGGGAGTGGTGAGTGCTTACTTTCGAGATACAATTTACTCATCCTACAGTATGACATATGGATGATAGGCACAAGTTGGTGAAGAATCTGACGTTCGCCCCCCACCAATAGTTCGCGACACTGTGTACGATAGAGACAATTGAAAGACCCTTTTACACTCGCTAGCTTATATAGTTTATTCATTAAGTCAAAGCAGTTACGTCACAACGTCAAATAATGACACTGATGCACATGGTTGCCACATTAATTAAGAGGCCCTAGGATGCTTTACAAAATCTACATTAACTTCGATACCGATACCAACATTACGGAGCGTATGTTTTGTAAACATTAGAGCTAGTATAAATCTATTTACTACCTAATACCTCTCTGACGGACTATAAAGGCAATAATGGAGCTCCATGATCTCGTTCGGTCACAAAATATTTCGTCAAAGGAATGACGAATTATTTTGCTTGTCGACCCAGAGGCTTAGGCATTTTAGCAAAATGCTTAAAATGACACCACAAAGTTTTGAAATTATAAAATAACAATGCAAATATTGATGGTAAAAGAACGGAATTAAACCACAAATAAACAAGCTTTGCGACAATGTCACAACACAGAAAACTGTTACCAACATAAATGTATCGGGGAAATTTAAACTATACTTACCAATTTAGCAACTATTTTGCATTAAGGTTGGCATTAAAATTTACTAAATATGACGTAACTGCTTTGTTTCAGTGAATAAACTATACCACCCTTGCTACGCGCACTGCACCACTATGGTCAACTGTCAAAAGCAAATTCTTTTGGCGATGATTTTGACCTAAGGCTGACCAATTTATAGCTAAACGTATTTTATTAATAACAAATGCCGTCATTGATAACACCTGGTCTAAATTTCTAAAAGAAGAGTACTGATATGTAGTGTTCATTGTTTTACTGTCATTTTGTAAGAGCCGAAAAGCCACAAGTAACACTTACATTGTTTTAACTTGCAGTACAAACTACGTATATATACAGTAATCCAAATCCATTAATTTGACTGCACGTCCCAAAAACATCATTAATTACGTCAGCGATCTAACAGCTAAACGGTATTTCGATACTGGGCTTGTCAGTTGTCAGCTTTTGGATCTGAAATTAAACAACGATTAAAAACATTATAGATAGAGATTTAAACGAATTTTCAAACATTTTGTAGCATGAAATGAACCTATGGCAATTCAGTGACTGAATAGAGGCTGTTTCATTTTCGTAAGTTATATTTTCGTTCATTCCGTCCATTTTCCCCTGCTTGTCATCAATTTTGAAACTTTCTGTCATCATGTTCTATGTTAGATTTGTTTTAACAAATCATCTTACTGTCTCCAAATTGGGCAAAGGAAACACGAAACATTGAACCCCGTAAAACAGTATTTGATGTGCTAGGTATTCACATGGCAACGCAGAAATGGCTTTGCTAAGCATATATATGCATAATAGACATAGCTGAAAGGATCTAAGACCCTTACAACTATACGCTTACAGCTCTACTTTCTGTTATACGTAAGGTGACGGGGAGGTGCTTAAGTCGGGAACCTTTGGTGTACCACGAACGTCACGACTTGATTAGCGACAGGCAGTCTGGTTTCCGGCTCGAAGGTTTACTTCACGCAACTACGGAGCAAACTCATCCAGTCTTATGGTGAAGCTTATGTCGTTGCCCTTGATATCACAAGCTCGATCAGCTATGCCATGATGCCCTTTTATGCAAACTTCCATCTGGCCTTCCAGAGAAGCTTTGCAGATGGTGTCTAACTTCCTCTCTGGTCGCAAGATATCCATCGTAATTGACAGGTTCCCCTCTTCATCCGACAACGTCAGCGCGGATGTTCCCCAGGGATCGGTCTCGAAATTGTTCCTATTACATATCAACGACCTCATTTCCGGTACGATCAATCCGATCCACAGCTTTGCTGATGACAGCACTCTACATGCAGGAATTAAGAGTGAAATGCCGATCTTTGCCAGTGACCTGGGAAAAGGAGACTAGCAGCGACTTCCTGTCTGACGAGAGACCTGGAGATTATCACTGTCTGGGCACGCAACAACCTTGTATAGTATAATGCTTCCAAAATACAGTCCTGAAAGGACCTAGCGCTCATCCGGGTCCAATGGTTGTCCGAGTTGTACCAAAATTTGTTTACCAAGGACTTGATCTGGACTACAGTATTTGTTCATTACTTTTCTCCAAACCACCTCCTTACTCTGTATTCCAGATAAGACCTAGCCTCGAGTACTGCTCATATGTGTGGGGTGCTGGCGCTCCGACTACATTATCGATGCTCGATGCTATCCAGAGGAGGGCTGTCCGACTGATCGGTGACTCTGTTCTAACGGACAGTCTCGAGACCCTTTCACAACGGCGAGGGCTCCATGATGCCGCACCACAAATTGAAAAACCTACACATTCTTGCTTCCGCATGAAAGGGGTCGTGTGATAAATAACATCAAGCCGCCCATGTCCCAGAAAACAGACGTTCTGCCACTTCTAACACACCTCACACCCTGTTGATCAAGTTTTTATCATCTGTAATCCTCCCACTTTTCGCTTGAGATGACGACCGTGACGGTGACACTTCGTAAATGGCGGATTTATCCTCGCTAACCCACACTGTCATAGATCAGGAATTTTAAGGAATACTTCAGCAGTTTTCAAAACAAGACATTCTCAAGTAAAAGTTTTTGAGTGCTCTATATGATAGGTGAACCACTATTCTACATTTCTTGCTTGAGAGGACAATTGAATTCTCTAATTCCACACGAACCTGTGTCTCATTTTTACCTTGGTACGTTTTCTCTAAAACTGCGTAGCTCAGGTGTGGAAACGTGTGGACACCTTGAAAGAGCTTCGGGGTAGTACCACCTCGGCCGACTAGTCAAGGTCTACCACCTTCTTTTGGTTTATGATTGATGTTAAATTGATAGGTTGGTAGGCTTCTAACAAGTCACTGAAGGTTTCACGTGAATATAGACAAAATAGTACATAACTCTGCCAAAAATATGAAAGAATTATTGCGATAACTCGAAAATTGAGAAAGTTATGACATTCTATATCGCATTTATCCGTAGCGCTCAAGCTCATCAGTCGCAATATTTTGTTATTTATTATTGTTCAAATAGAAAAATAATGGGTAGAGGGCAAAGTCCGCAAAAAAAGGAAAGTGGATTCGAGCAGAAAATAGGATAGGTAACCCGAGCGATACGTATTTTTCTTGTTGGCTTCATCAGGCCCGGAATGAATGCACATATGCAACTGCAAACGTACACATATGCCCATACAACCGGATACGGGTGTAACCTGAGGAGACGAAAATGAAGAGGAACAAAACAACACACAAAGTCACCAACAAGAGCCAACCTACATTTTTGTAATATAATGGCCAGAAGACCTCGAGTTTTCAAGGCGTCATCTAACCACAAGCACGCGGTCGTTTATCGCCACATGCCGTGGTACTTCAAGCCCAAAGCATCTACAAAAAAAGAAAGGATCATGCGGAGAAAGGTATATAACAAATAGAAAAATAATGGGCAAAGTCTGCCGGCCTGATGAAGCTAACAAAGAGAAATACGTATTGCTCGGGTTGCCTATCCTACTTTTTGCTAGAATCCACTTTCCTTCTTTTTGCGGATTTTGCTCATTATGTTTCTATTTGGTATTATTAATCTTCTTGTCGCATAGCGTCGTGTGTCGATTGGCAAGTAACACAACGCCATATCATATCTTCATCTTGATCTCAATACAGCTGTTTATTTTAAAACGTGACACTATACCTACTAACATCAAAATGATATTAACAACAGTAACATGATATTTCCGAAAGGAGCAATTTTATCGTCTGTTTCCATATTCATTACCCTACACCACTTCCTTATAATTATTCTATGATTCGGCGCCGGCAAACATGTCTTTCTGGAGCTGAAATGCCTGTATTTGTACACCTAGGTACAAAACAGTAGGCTTCATAACTGTTCTATAACTATCAGGAGCATGCGCAGGAAAAAACGACATGTTCGGGTTTCTGTTGGATTATTATCGGACCGTTTTACAACTGAAATTTGGTATTCGAGTTATATCCTGGTTCAGTTCTAGGATGGTTCGAGAATCGTTCAAGCAGCTCTTCTCTAATGCCGGGACCATTTTTGAATCGATTTTTTACGCATGCGTATTCCTTCTGCCAATGTCATTAGAATTATTTGAAGTGTTTTGCTTTGAATGCTGTCTACTTTTTTGCGGTTTGAGAAGTGTATTTTATTTATAATTTAAAAGAAAAGTGGACAAATGGATTCAAGCAGATAATTTTTGATTCTGATTCATCACCATCATCATCGTCGTCTGACAGTGATGATGAACTTGAAACAGTTACTCTCAACTTATTTTTGTTTGGATGTAGTTACTGACAAATTTTCTCTTCGCACAGTTATCTTCTTTATTGCCGTAGTCCTCGGTTGAGGCTGTTCGGGCTTTGGCAAAATGCTGATAGTTCACGGACTGTTCATAGCCGCTTTACAGATCTTCCCCTTTACGCATTCAGTCTTGCGCAGTTCCAGAACCGTTTTGCGAAAGTACTGAATTTAGAACTCGAAAATAGCTAGTACAGGGTGCGGCAGAGAGGATGGACGGTTTTAAAAAAATCATAAAATTTTTACTCGAAAACAAATTTATTGATGGAATCAGGTTCACAAGGAAATAGCATTTGAGACAGTCAAGTGTGGAAAATCACATCAGGCATGTGGTGGCCGAAATCATTGATGCAGTGCTGGAGGCGTTCTTGGAAGTTCGAGTAGAGTCTCTACAAACATCGCTCTCTCAACTTGGGCGACTTCGACGCGAATTTCGCCCTTCAATTCGCCCAGAGTTCGGGGCTTGTTCGCGTATACTCTAGCCTTGAGGTGTCCCCATAAGAAAAAATCGCATATGGATAAATCTGGGGACCGAGGAGGCCAATGATCATCGCCAAACCTGGAAATAAGGCGACCA